AATAAACAACACCAAGCCGACATGCATGTAAAACGTTATATTCATTTGTAAGCTGAATTTAATTCGGTGTGAGTGACACAGACACTGTAAGACTTCAATACATCAATTTTTATGATACATCTCGAATCTAGAACTTTGAAAACGGCGCACGTGTCAACACAAATCAAATCAAATTAAATAGGATAAAATTTAATCTTCAGCGAGGGTAGAGTCTTCTTTTCTTGGTATTAAAAAATCACGGCCAACTGAAGACTAGCAATGTAACCTCCAACACGAAGCTCCAGATGTAGTAAATCAAATCTTTAGGGAGTGTAGAGTTTCCTTTTCGTGGTTTGAAAAAAGCACAGCCAACAAAAAAATAACACCAACACGAAGCCACAGATTTACTAGTAATGAATCAAATATTTAGCAAGAGTAGAGTTTTCTTTTCGTGGTTTAAAAATTTAAAATCACATCCAATTAAGGATGAATGAACGGCCAACACGAAACTCCAGACCAGCGCCTTGGCGGAGTGTCCGTGCCAGGCGGCTGGGTGGGAGGTGCCCCCAGGACGAAGTCACATCTCCCCGCGGCCCGGTTAGCGGCTGTACAGGTCTTCTCCTAGCTCCAGCCGCCCCAGGACGCCGTCACGCGGTACGTACCCGCCACCAGCAGCCGCCAGTAGTCACCGTCTCGCGCTGCGGGGAAAGAAAAAAACACAACTATCTACTAGCTGAACACAAGATAGTGGATTCCGCTTGAAAGCTTGATAACTGTTATATGCCTACACACATGTATACGTACATGCTGCCAGTAGTCACTGTCTCGCGCTGGAGGGAACAGAAAAAGGTTTCTAGATGAAGACATGGAAGAAAAATACTGGATTCCGTTTGAAAGCTTAATCTTTGTCTGAACGGAAAGTCGGACATGCTGCCAGTAGTCACCGTCAAGTACCGCATGGGGAAGGCAGGAAAGGTTTTCTATAGCTGAAGACATGGGAAATGATGGTGGATGTCCTCTTTCTTTAGTTCCTTTCTCTCCAAGAGAATTTAACTATGAACAGAAGGAAAGAGAGAAAGAAGAGAAAGAGGGGTTAGCAAGAAATGGAGAAACAAAGAGAGAGGGAGGAAGAGAGAAAGACGAGGAAGAAACATGCAGATTGACTGACCTGTTGTAAGGTCAAGGTTGATGCCCCTGACAGAGATGACGGCGTCTGCGATGCCGTTATTGTTCGCATCCCTCATGAACGATGCCGCTGTGCACCTGTCAGCAAACAAACAAACACGATGCGGTTCAAAAGAGACGCCTAGCGGCTGAATGAAATATCGAACAAAGCAGATTGATAGATTTCCTCAATTATGCGATTTAGGCCACAGCATGTAAGTTTATGGATGACATCCTCTGCAGACTCCAAATCTAATGCGAGCACGCGAAAAAAAAAGCAGGCCGAAAAAAACAAGGTTCCTACAATTTGAAATTTTCACTCAATCATTGTACAAATGGTTTTGATTCAGTGGAAACATCACATATACACAGCCAGCATCACTGCATCAAAGTAAGAAACAAAACATCAAATCAGAGCCTTTTCTTGTCTCCTCTCTTCATAGTTATCTGCCATCCACCTTCCAGCATGGCAGCAGACGTCTGTCCATTTTTGGCATGTTGACCACTGTCAGAAGATAACAAAATTTCTTGTTTCTTTTTCAAAATCAGGCGAAAATGAATGCGCGCGCTGATGTCATCCATAAAAATTACTTGCTGTGGCCTTACCTTCTGATTTGCATAATTGTCGTTTGATTATGTCAAGCATCACGTAAGCTACCTATGTACCGAAAATCTCGACAATCCGTCAACAGGTTTTTGAGTTATCCTCCTTCGAATATGTTTCAACAAATGCTCCTACAGTTCCAGAACAATCTGCTAGGGAGCCCAAACTCATGTCACTTCTTTCCTACCCAAAGAGCTATCTACCAACCAAAATTCATGACCCGAGTATGTATACATCGCGAGATATATAAACCGGAAGTTCTGCTGCAGTACCAAAAAAAGCCACCAGGGGGGCCAAAGATCTAATTATTTCTTGGCCTCATCAAGACCTACCCATCTACCAAGTTTCATGACAATGCATATTAAGCTTCTTGAGTTATGCTGTTCACAGACAGACAGACGGACAAACGCTACTGAAAACATGACCTTCTTGGCGAAGGTAATAATGTTTCATTGGAAGCTTTTCGGAGACACAAACCCCCTAACGGTCAGTTTCTGGCCATGTAAAATCTATGAACTTTGTGAAAATTCTGTCCTGATACAAAAGAAAAGATTTACATACTTTCTGATAACATATAGATTTAAAACTGAATGTAATACACAGATGCGTAACGTTAACCAACCTGTAGACGTTTTCGTTGCGTCGGATAAGTCGTAATGGTGTCTCCTGTCGTCAGAGTCCCTTCCGTCGAGGTGCAGCCTTGTTTCCATCTCACTTTCGTGTGAAGACGGCGAGAGATTCGGCAGATTTGCTGGATCTGAAGACGTATTTCCTTTCAGCCTGAGAGAAGTGCCGTGGCCAGGATTGCTTACGTCGCACTGGGACTGGAGGGGCGAGGCAGCGGGGGGAGAGGTCGACTCCTGAACCCGCTCGACTCTACTCTCCAAGCAGAGGTTTGGGTTTTGGGGGTATTTTTAGTGTGTTTTTAGGCTTTTTTATCGGGGTTTCTCTTTTGCACTGAATTTTTTTTCCCACCAAACCCAACTTGACGCTAAAAATACCCCCAAAACCCAAACCTCTGCTTGGAGAGTAGCTCGACTCCTGAACCCGGCCGGGGCCAGCCGGGGCTACATCCCCGACGGGCACCGGCGCAATTGGGACCGAAGCTTAACGCGGTGAACAAAAACATGTTGTTAGGCAAATGATAGCGCGAAGTACACCTCCCTGTAGCTGTAAACAAAAACATTTTCCTCGGCAAATATATAGCAATGACGCCATTTGTTGCATTTTTGTCGTACTAAAACTGGGCTAATTAACGTTATAACTAAGCTGCTATGGCCATGGATTGCGTTGATTTCATTATGGTTAAACGCCATGTATTATGTCACATGATGCAGCCATATCGTGGGTTTTTCTTGGCCATAACGTTAGTTTGAAGCCTCGCCGATGTGTGTTGCTAAAGTTACCCAAAGAGGCAACCAATTATCATAGACTATGTGTTTTAATCCGAATGTGTACGTGTAACAGTTAACGGCACCAAAAATTAAAAAAGAAAATTATAACATGGCACACATTTTTTAATCGACAAACTACCGTTTCTTCACATGGCTTAAATATTTGGTTCTGCCTTCGCGTTTTCACAAAATAATGTTATTTGCCGTACTAGTAATTAGACCGTAAACTGGTAACCTTGCGTTACAGTTTATATTACGGAAAACATGCGTTTTCTTCTAACACCGCTAGGTGTCACTTTTCATACGCCCGGCCAGTTACACGTAAGGTCAAAGGTTGAACAAAGATGGCAGTCGCGGACTAGGTTGAGTAACTGTTACATAATTTCAGCGTACTTTCTCAACGTAATATAGAGTCCCGCGTACAAGGAAGAGGTTTTGAAACAGACACAAGACAAGACTAGGTTACGTCTTGCCCCACACCGTTGCCATGGCTCTTGCTACAAGAACAATTCCTGCATTAAGCTGTGCACAATGTCATATTGCGGCCATGTGGAGGTCAGGACTTCAACAAGGCTTGTTGGAGCAGCCGGCGAAATTTCCTCAAGTGTTCAGGATATTTTCACCCAGAGACGTCCACAGCAGCGTCTGGCTGTACGCTGGTCACAACAAGTGGTCCAAGGTCAGGTCAATATGAATGTTATTGTGAAGTATTGTTTTTTCTCTAGTAGAATTTGGTATAACGCGTACATGGAGTGTATTTGTGTTACTCACTGTGTGTGCGCGTGTGTTTCTGTGCGTATACTATATACAGGTATGTTTGTGTCTCTATGATCTATCTTTATGTATGTGTGCGCGCACAGTGGCAACTGTGTGTGTGCCATTGTGTGTGTGTGTGTGTGTGTGTGTGTGTGTGTGTGTGTGTGTGTGTGTGTGTGTGTGTGTGCTATATGTTCTCTGCTGATTTTTCAAAGATGACAGATTGGCCAAAATCCATATATTATGAGTGGCTAGTTTGTATATCAGGTGTCCTTTATACTGTAATTCCTGATTTTCACTGTACTTTTACTATGTATGTTAACTTTGTGGCTTTTGTGGTCACTATCGTATCATTACACATACCGTTAACAAATAAGCTGACCCGTCACCATCATAACAGGTGTAACAGTGTGTACATGTGTGTGTGTGTGTGTGGGGGGGGGTTATACTAGTAGGCACTGCCAGTGCCAACTGACCTGGCCAATGGGTCTAGACCTTTCAGCCGAGTGGTTTGATCGTCTGGTTATGAAGCTGGTGCTCAGGAGGTCGTGGGTTTGAACCCCAGCCCGAGACCACAGGTTTTTATCTGTTTCTACTGCTTGCCTCTGTTTCTTACAGTGGTCCCCACACCGGCCCTGGGAGTTTTGGCAAAGAGTGCCGCTCCAGGGATGTCCAATTCGCAAGGGTACCGAAGTAACGGGTTCCTCACTGGCCGCCCAGTGCGGAATTCACAGGGAAAGTGGCGTCGGCACTCGGGGCCCTGTGCGGAATTCTAGTGCAGAAACGGCTTTGTTCCAGTGCTGAAACACCGTCAGGACTGGAATTCCAGAGCTGAATCTTGACTCGGCACTCGTTTTCCGGTGCTAACTTCCACTCCGCACTCGTTTGCCAGTGCTGGGAGGCCGTTCACCACTGGATAGCAAGTGCCGAAGTCCCTAAGTAACGGGTTCCTCACTGGATCGTTCCAGTGCTCGGTCACTCTTGGTGCTGGAAGCCGAGTTCTCAAATCATTTCGGCACTGGGCTTCTGGTGCTCACGTCGGCCGCGCGGCGTACAGTACAGTATCGTAGGCCAAGTCTATGTCTGTAAAAATGTGAGGATCTGAGCCTTGCAGTATTGTCCTGCCGATCACCTTGTCGTCCCGATTATAATTTGCTTCCCGGGCGGTACGATCTCAAAAATATAAGTGTTAGAGTTCAAAGGCGGCATATCGATACCCTTTCTAAAGACAAGGTTTGATGTGCCGATTTAGAGTTTCCAGTGCTGAAGCCGCCGACACTGGACCCAAGTGTTGATGTAACTTCGGCACTGGAGATCTAGGACGGAAGCCACCTCACCTCTGTATACCGAGTGCTGAGAAAGGAACTCGTAGAGTACTTCGGTACTTTTGCGTCCAATTCGGAAGATTCGAGGACGAATCTTGAAAAAAAAGAAAAGGGGAGTAGTGTAACTGTAACAGTGTGTGTGTGTGTGTGTGTGGGGGGGGTTAATGGCGCTACCAACTGACCCGGCTGATGGGTTTAGACCTTTCAGCCGAGTAGTTAGAGCGTCTCGTTATGAAGCTGATGCTCGGGAGATCGTGGGTTCGAACCCCGGCCCGACACCTGAGGGTTTTTATCTGTTTCTACTGCTCGCCTCTATTCTATTCTATTCTATACAATACTAAGCAATACCCCTCGCGGGGTCTAGTGCTTAGGGAAGTGGTCGTTCCCCAGTGTGACCGGTGGTGGTGGTGAGGAAAAAAATAACAACAAACAAATTTCCTGGTCTTGACTACAGTGTATCGGACGGTAAACAAGACAATCATCAGCAAAAAGTCTCTGTTTCTTACACAGACAACAAATAGTTCATCAAACACCTCCATTTTTCTCAAACCTTGAAATGTTCCAACCACGTCGAACATAAAAGTGAAATACACATTAATAATAATATGTAGTATATAATACTTGGATGTTTGTTGATTTCAGGTTCGTCACATCAAGGGTCCCAAAGACCAGGCCAAGTCCAAACTGTTCGCCAAGTTTGCCTTGCAAATACGATTGGCAGTGAAAGGTCAGAGGTCATACTAATAATTATATGACAATAAACTCTGTACACGATGCTAGACAATTCCTGCAATTATTATAACTGTAGTAAAGTGCAGCAGGATTTGCTAATTTGTATTTCATATCTGTGATCCAAGCGTGTCGATTTGGGATCTGACAATGTCCTTATGCTAATATTTTTGTCATCAGTAACAAAATTTTGATAGAGTGGAGTGTATATTATTGTGTAATCACTACCAGATCCAGAATGGGTGAAAAAGTGAATCTGGGTACTTTTGGGTGAATCTGTGTACTTTTGGGTGAATCTGGGTACTTTTGGGTGAATCTGTGTACTTTTGGGTGAATCTGGGTGAATTTTCAAGGTGTCATTTGCTAGATATATAGTGTTTCCATGTATTATATAATGGGTGAAAATAAAAATTGCACCTATATGACAAAACCGTGAATTACGGGTGAATTCAAGGTTTCACCCATTAATTTATTATTATTGCAAAACAAACAGCAATTAACCGGTCTGCCTATTTACCGGAAAACACAGGAAAAAACATATAGGAGGCTCACTAGTAAATCTACCGGAATACACCCTGCATTGATGAGATAACAGCCCAAGTTGCTGTATTTTGGCGTAAGATAACTTATACGTAGCCCAGGGAACAATGAATCACTAAATAATGAATCGGCAATCGCCGGATTGTATAAATTTGTATCATGTGATGACTTAAGGTACTGTAACTACAGTATTTTGTCACAATCACGACTCACATGATGGCTGGTTTTGTGTACAGAGGACGGCCCCAATCCTGAGCTGAACAGCAAACTGGACAGCATCATCAGCACAGCTAAGGAGAAAGGGATGACGAAGGCCAGCATAGATCATGCTGTGAAGACAGCAGTAGGTGGAAACTTCTTCTGTCTTCACAGTACAAATCTTGATTAGGCCACAGCAAGTAATTTTTATGGATGACATCCGCACACGCATTAAGTTTTGCCTGATTTTGGAAAAAAACAAGAAATTTTGTTGCCTTCTGACAGTGGTCACCATGCTGAAAAGGGGCAAATGTCTGTTGCCGGAAGGTAGATGGCAGATAACTATGAAGAGAAGAGACAAGAAAAGGGTCTGATTTAATGTTTTATTTCTTACTTTGATGCAGTGATACATGTATGTCACAGTGATTCTGGCTGTGTATATGTGATGTTCCTACTGAATCAAAACCATTTGGTCAATGATTGAGTCAAAATTTTTAATAGTAGGAACCTTGTTTTTTTTTTCGGCCCGCTTTGTTTTTTTTTTTGGCCCCTGGCATTAGGTTTGGAGTCTGCGGAGGATGTCATCCATAAAATTTACTTGCTATGGCCTTAACTGAGACTCTTCGCATGAATTTTACACACCATTTTAACTCCCCTATAACTTGGGATTTGGTTCATCTACATGTATCTAAGCATATCTAGCAGTTTTGATGGTACTGCAGCAGTGTAACAGAATGGCCTTACAATCCCAACCATGACTTTACCTATGGTAAGTGCACATATGGTAAAAGGTTGATTCCCCAAAGCAATCAACAGTGACTCATTGCAGGGCTAAAAAAATATTTTTGGGAATAGTAAGGTGCACACCAAAAATTTTGGGTGCACCATACAAAACAAAACCTAATACAAAGATCTTACCGTTCCTCTTCTAAGCTTGAATCTAAAATGGGAGCTAAATTTTAAATTTAGTACTACAACAAGATTTTATTATTTTTCTGACACTTAGAGGCCAAGAATATCCTGTATCATTATACATTTGAAATGTACAAAATACCTTCAAAAATATTTGGGCGACCCATTGCACCCACAGAAAAGAAATGGGTGCACTATAAGGTGCACAGTATGCACCCTGCATTTTGAGCCCTGCATTGCATAACACATGGCAAAACAGATTCCTATAGAAAAAACATTACACATTCAAATAGGAAGGGACAGTAACTTGTTGTTATGCCAAAAGACTCAAGCAACTGGATATGATTTTGGAAACAGTCAGACGTTTCAGGTACATGTAGAATCCATTTCCTTGTTTCAGTGACACTGGAGACTTGCAACAAAAAGCAGGTTTATAAGCACGAAAGGTAGTGCATGCTACATGTACCTGAAGTCTGCCTGCACGTTTCCAAAATCATATACAGTTGCTTGAGTAACTGTTTATTACCTGGATGTTTAACCTTCACCGAGAACTGTTGTTGCAACATGAATAAAGAAAGGAAATAGCAAATGACAAAGGTATGAGATCTTTGACCTCTACAGGGCTGGAAATACTGGGTGCATGTGCACCTTAGTGCACCCAAATTTGCACCCAACTTTTTTTCTGTGGGTGCACGTACAGGTGCACCCAAATATTTTTGTAGGTATTTTTGTACATATTGAATGTGAAATGATATACAGGATAATCTTGGTATCTACATGTAAAGTATCAGAAAAATAATAAAATATTTGTTGTAGAAATTGATTTGTAAGAGTTTGAAGACAGTTTGATTTCACATTCAAGCAAAAGAGAAGCAGTAAGATCTGTAATTAGGTTTTTTTTTCATATGGTGCACCCAAAAAAATTTTGTGCACCTATTTTTTCAGGTTGTTGGATGCGCATCTATTCCTAAAAATGAATTTTTGAGCCCTGCCTCTCATTTTTAAATACTTTTTCAAGTACTGTATGTCTGTTATGAATTTTAGGTGTGTCAAATGGATATTGCATGCACATTACAGTTATACTTTTTTTTTCTTTTTATGACAGCATGGTAACAAGGATAAGCCTGTGGTTAGTTCCCTGGCAGATATCCAGGGTCCCGGGGGCTCCTATATCCTGGCAGACGTGGTGACAGACAGCGCCAAACAGACCAGAGATCAGCTCAGGAAAATCTGCAAAACACACGGGTACGTGGGACATGAGCAGGCTTAAAGCTCTCATGACACCAAAATATGACCTTATCTGATTGTAATTGACATAACTAGTATTACCTGGCTAACAGACACATTTACAATAAATATGCACGGTTCTCCTGTTACATTCCAAATTCTAATGCCCTGCCTTGGAAAAGTCAGCACAAGCCAATACTGGCAGGCGATTTGCATTTCTACATTTTATTTTTGCATGTCTGTATTTTTTCCTGAGCTGACGCCAGTGATGTCAGCTCAGGAAACAGCACAGAAATGCAAAAATAAAACATAGAGATGCAAATAGAGATGCCCGAAATGGGCAATTGGGAAGCTTGCTAGAGAGTCTCCAAAAACCCACTTTTAGAAGGCTGTACAAGCTCAGTTTCTCAGTCATTATGATTGGAACGAACTTGAAGTGACTGTATTGTATTGTGTTGTATTGTGTACTGTATTGTACTTCTGATTTGTGTTTTACTTTTTTGTGTCATTTGGTCTTTAAAGCATGGGCAGCTGGCAAACAGAAACTATAGAAGGACCCGGTCAAAAACAAAAATATAGATTATGTACATGTATACAAGCAAAGTTTCAGCTTCTCACAATAACAAGAAGTAGATCTGATTTAGTGGAAATCTTAATTGAACCATGAACCTTGAAGCTTGAAACCTTGAAACTTACAAAAATCATGCTTACTTTACGATTACATAGACATCCAAACATAAGCAAGATGAGGGAGGTTGTGTTAAAGAAAATTCCAATATCCTATACAAAATGTATATGTTCTACCAACCTGATAATTTATTTTTCATTTTGTCTATCTTCTCCCCAGAGGAGTGTTTGGGAGTAAGGCTCGCCATGCCTTTGAAAGAAAAGGTATAATCACGGTGAGCAGTGCCCTGGACATGGACCGGGCAGAGGAGGTGGCTATCGAGGCTGGAGCCGAGGATGTGGAACAGGGGGTGGATGAGGACGACACAGAAGTCATACAGGTACATATAGAATACTAGAGAAGTAACATTTGCGCAACAAATGCATAATGTTTACCTTCGGATATGGTCTGCTCTGTTAATTCTTACTCAAACACATACATGTACATGTACTACACATGTATTTGTATATGGTGACAGGAGCAGAGTAGACCATGAAATTGCAACATTATGTAACCAAACACCAGTCACCATTGTGACAGACGTCAACAAATCATGTTATTTTTCAGGTCAGAGGTTAGTGTTTGGAGAAGAAGAAGAAGAGGAAAAAACTGAGCAAAAACAATATGTTTTCCTTCAGTAAACATAACTACTAGGTG